CCTAAACCCTAACCCCTAGAAACCCCAAACCTAAGCCCCAGATCCCCCCAAAATTCCCAAACCCCCTCACAGCCCCCTCTAACCCCTCCGACCTACACCGCCGTCACCGAGGCGTAAGGCGCTCGCCACCGTCGGCCAGGCCTTCAAGACCTTCCCATCAGGTTTAGGGTTTAGGACTAGGATTTAGGGTTTAGGGCTAGGGTTTAGGGTTTAGGGCTTAGGGCTCGTGTCGAGTACTTGGGGTTTCGGATTTAGGGTTTGGGCGTCGCGGGCGCAGGCCTTGTCGACCGCAGAATCAACTCCGCACTGTTTTTGCGGCGGAGGGGGGATTAGGGCTTCGGGTTTAGGGTTTAGGGTGGGGGGGGTATACGTGTGGGTTATATGTGAATTCCTCAACTAAAGTCAGGGTTCCGACTTTATTCGGCTTCAGGGTCTTTAGGGTATACCCTTTTCCTGGGTCGCGACGGGTGACATTCGGGTTCTCAGCTTCGGTATTCCACAAAATTTTAGGACGAAGGCTGGTTCGGGCTCAGGCGCTCCGATCCCGCAACCTTGAGCCCATAAGCAATATCTGGAAGGACCACAGCGATTTAGGTTGCAAGTTGCCCCCCCCCCCCTCTCTCCTCCCAAAGAAGCTGTGCCTGTACCATAACTGTTTAGAACGCCGCAGACCCTATAACTCTAAGACTCGACAAACACCTCCGAGTACAACCTCCGTTCTCTATTCTATACGTAAATATGAACTGTATATGCAATGCCGTAAACTCAAAACCCCAAACCCTAAACCTTATAACCCTCAAACCCCAATCCTCAAACCGCACACCCTAAACCCTAAACCCTAAACCCTAAACCCTAAACCCTAAACCCTAAACCCTAAACCCTAAACCCTAAACCCTAAACCCTAAACCCAACACCCTAAACCCTAAACCCTAAACCCTATACCCTAAACCCTAAACCCTAAACCCTAAACCCTAAACCCTAAACCCTAAACCCTAAACCCTAAACCCTAAACCCTAAACCCTAAACCCTAAACCCTAAACCCTAAACCCTAAACCCTAAACCCTAAACACTAACCCTAAACCCTAAACCCTAAACCCTAAACCCTAAACCCTAAACCCTAAACCCTAAACCCTAAACCCTAAACCCTAAACCCTAAACCCTAAACCCTAAACCCTAAACCCTAAACCCTAAACCCTAAACCCTACCCTCAAACATGAGAGGCCCCTCACACGGCTGTTCTGGGATGCGCCGACTCTCGTGCAGCCTGGACTTTTCTTGGAAGCCCCACGGGTCTCTGAAGGGGGTCCTTGGGGGTTTAGGGTTTAGGGTTTAGGGTTTAGGGTTTAGGGTTTAGGGTTTAGGGTCTAGGGTTTAGGTTTCGGGGTACATGCTTAATTGCCCTAAAGCTACTATGCAGGAAACCCCCCCCCCCCCCCCTCAGCAGTTCCGTATTGGGCCTTCTATGAGGCTTCTACACGCCCGAGTCCTGTTCAAGTAAGAGGCACATGTAGACCAGCTGTGTCTGAGCTTTACTTGGTCTGCTTGCTCCTCACCAGACCGTCGTCGACTGTGGGTTTGTGGGTGTAGGGTTCAGGGTTTAGGGTTTAGGATTTGGCGTTTAGGGTTTAGGGTTTAGGGTTTAGGGTTTGTGGAAGTGTTATAGGGTTGACTACCCCGCAGTTGGAGAGATATGCTTCTTCAGTTGGCCGGTTGTAGTGATCAATGGCCACAGAAGAACGGATTCTCGAAGTGTTTCTAGGATCAGCTTGGGTTAACACACGAGCCTTACAACATGCCAATATTACACCCTTTGTAACCCCTACACAACCATAATCGAAACCATTGCCAGATTATCCCGTATCATCCTCCCTTCAGAACCCCTTGCCATCCCCTATAGAATAGGAACAGGTGTGCTGAAGAACTCCAATGCTTGTTTCTCCGGCCGTTTTTGGGAGCTGCGCAACAGTCTTGGCCCTTTTCAGGTGAGGAGGTTTCGAGGGGCGTTCGGAGCTGATAGGATTTAGGGTTTAGGGTTTAGGGTTTAGGGTTTAGGGTTTAGGGGAAGCCTGAGGTGCCTTTGGAGCTGGTTTTTGACACTCTGCCCGGTGTCGCTTGCCTGCACTGCCAGCTTCAGAAAGTCCCAAAACCCTAAACCCTAAAACCCTAAAACCCACAACCCTAAACCCTAAACCCTAAACCCTAAACCCTAAACCCTAAACCCTAAACCCTAAACCCTAAACCCTAAACCCTAAACCCTAAACCCTACACACCTCGGGCCGCAAGCGCCGCGTATTTCGAGCAGAGAGAACATCCACCTCAGCTGTAGCCCTCTACCCCCCCCAAAACAACTTCGCTTACAAGGCTTGGAGTTTGGGGTTTAGGATTTAGGGTAGGGTTTGGGGTTCAGGGTTCAGGGTTCAGGGTTTGTGTTTGGGGTTTGGGTTTCCCCCCGCAGCCCGCCCCCCGCCCCCCCCCCCCCGCCCCCCGCCCCCCGCCCCCCACCCCCCCGCCCCCCACCCCCCCCCCACCCCCCTTCCCCGCCCCCCCCCCACCCCCGCCCCCCGCTCCCCCCCCCCCCCCGCCCCCCCCCCCCCCCGCCCCCCCCCCCCCCCCCCCCCCCGCCCCCCCCCCCCCCGCCCCGCCCCCCCCCCCCCCCCTTCCCCGAAAAAAAACAGAACCTGCTTCTTAGTACCCCAAACCCCAAACCCTAAACCGACTCACACAAGCCCGTCCCTAGGGTTAACTACTGGGTTTCATCGAGTCCTACTTTGAACTTCCAATGGTACCCCCTTATATACCTCTTGATACCCTTCTACATATATGTATTTATGTACATAGATTTAGTACCCCCCCCCCCTATATAGCACTCCTATTTATACCCCCCCCCCCCCCCCATATAACCCCTCATACCTTCAAGCCTAAGCCCCAAACCCCAAACCCTAAACCCTAAACCCTAAACCCTAAACCCTCAACCCTCAACCCTAAACCCTAAACCCTAAACCCTAAACCCTAAACCCTAAACCCTAAACCCTAAACCCTCGGAGTCTCCTCTGACAAGGACCTCTTCGTGCTCCGCAATGCCGGTAACACCGTCGTCCACTCGGAGGGAAGCGCGCCTTGGCTCCGTTGGAGAAAGCCGCCCTAAACCCTAAACCCTAAACCCTAAACCCTAAACCCTAAACCCTAAACCCTAAACCCTAAACCCTAAACCCTAAACCCTAAACCCTACACCCTAAACCCTAAACCCTAAACCCTGTACAGTACCCAATAAACCCTGAACCCTAACCCTATGAACAATGTACCCAGAAGGTTGGCTAGCAAGCACTCTGGGGGTCCCACGTGTTATGTGCCCCATAAAGGCGCCTAGTTCCCTTCCCGAAAAAGGAAACTATCCTAAACCCTAACCCTAAACCCGAAACCCCGAAATCCCGAAACCCTAAACCCCACCCGTCGGGTTCATGACCTTTGCTGCACATTCCCGTGCCGGTGCTTGTTTTCTTGCTTCGGAGCCCACAACCGAAACCCTATAAACTGTTAGCCCTAAACCCCCAAACCCTCAGCCACGGGTCTGGGAAGATCCCCCCAAACCCTAAACCCTAAACCCTAAACCCCAAACCCCAAACTTCAAACCCCAAACCCTAAACCCTAAACCCTAAACCCCAAACCCTGAACCCCAAACCCTTCTTGGTAAGCCCAAGGTTCTCGGAAGCCTGGAGCCTCTTGGCAACTCCAGGGAATCTCTTATTCAGAAGGGTTGAGGGGTTAGGGTTTCGGGTTTAGGGTTTAGGGTTTAGGGTTTAGAGTTGAGGGGTTAGGATTCTGGGCTTCGGATTTTTTAGTTTTCAATGCTTGCAGGAAGCGCGGGTTTTCTGTTCGGGGGGTTGGGGGGGTGGGGGGGGGGGGGGGGTTTTCTCAAAAGAGCCCCTATGCCCTGTGCGAAAACGCCTATGGTCCATGAGTTTACGCGGTGTGGGTGGCCTGTTCCTCCGCGGAAAAGCTGGCGGGGTACCCCCCCCTACCCCCCCCCCCCCGTTTTGGGGGGTGTAGGAGGGAATGTTTTCACCTCCTTTTCCCATCCAACACGCCGCCAGGGTCGGCGGACCCCCCAAACCCTAAACCCAAAACCCCCTAAACCCGAAACCCTAAACCCCCTAAACCCTAAACCCTAAACCCTAAACCCCCTAAACCCTAAACCCTAAACCCTAAACCAGTCGCAGGTTCTGCGTCGGCGCTCTGAAGTCCCAGCTCATTGTGGTCCTGGGACCCTTGGCCTGCTGGGGTTTAGGGTTTAGGGTTTAGGGTTTGGGGTTTAGGGTTGGGGTTTGGGAGCTCATTCTAAATGATTCAGAAGTGTGGGATTTAGGCTCGGGCGTTGTTAGAGGACCCTAACCTTGAAGCCCTAAACCCTAACCATTTCAGAGATGATGGGTTGGACTCCTGGGATTCTATAGCACATGGTTTAGGGTTTAGGGTTTAGGGTTTAGGGTGTAGGGTCTTTTTGCAGTTCATCAAGCGAAGCTATGAAGCCCCAACGGCGGCCTGTCTCTTGGGGTGCATGAGTTTCGGGATCGGCCCCTTCCCCAGCCCAAAGCCTTCAAACTTTGTGTAGGGTTCAGGGTTTGGGGAACCCTTAGCCCTAAACCCTCAACCCGAAACTCGAAACCCTAAACCCTAAACCCTAAACCCTAACTCCTAAACCCTAAACCCTAAACCCTAAACCCTAAACCCTAAACCCTAAACCCTAAACCCTAAACCCTAAACCCTAAACCTAAACCCTAAACCCTAAACCCTAAACCCTAAACCCTAAACCCTAAACCCTAAACCCTAAACCCCAACCGCTCGGTCTGAGGACACACGGCCTGCGGCGCCATGAAGGGCGCCGTGAAGGACTACCTCGCCAACAAGGGAACCACTCGAGCTCCGGCACCTCTTCTCCGGCAGTCTCCCAAAAAGTATAGGGTTTAGGGTTTAGGTTTTAGGGTTTAGGGTTTAGGGTTTAATTAGGGTTTATGGGGTTTGGGGTTCAGGGTTTAGGGTTTGGGGTTTAGGGGGTATAGGGCTTTGGGTACGGGGTATAGAGTTCAGCCCAATCTCTGGGTTGATGGCGAAGCTACGCTTTAAAAGGCTGTGAGCAGGAGAGGGGGGGCGAGGGGTACTTGGGGAAGTGCTCATTCATGCCAGGTATACATTCCACCCCCCCCCCCCCTTCCCCATGTGGATCAAGCAGGCCTGACTGTTGCTTAGAAAACGAAATCATCGCTGTCAACAAGCATAATTAGGGCGGATCTCGTCTTCGTTGAAAAGTAAAAAGGACCACTAGATTCTTTCGGTATCACACGAGGCATCGGAATCTCTTGTTTCTGAATGCCCTCGCTCATTTCTCATGAAGAGTAAAGACTTCGTCGTGTATGAGGCAAAGAAGAACGCGCGTTCTCGTTTCATCGGACAAGGTAGAGGAAACCAGAAAGTCTATCTGGGTAGTTCTCTGGTAGGACAGGTAAGACAGGTAAAGGACTATCTTTGTCTGATCAGACAATTTGAAGAATTAGATTCCTTTTTTTCATTTTTGCATGAAGAAGTTGAACTCCATGGTTCTTTCCCACAAAAGCGGAGGCCTCACATTTTATCAATTACCCCAAAAGCCTTGGGGGTGGGGGGGGGGTTCTGAACCCAGGAACTTCTTTTGTTCTGAAGAGGACTTCTCTAAGTACCTAATCGGTGACAGGGCTTTCTTCTTCTCAAGAGCATGCTTCCTCTTAAGGAATTCGGATATCCCCGAAGCACGAGGAGCCCTCTCATATCTTCAAGACTATATGTGAGAGACTGCGGGCCAAAAGGACCATATTTTGGAGAAGTGAATATATATATATATATGAGCAAGCGCCAAAACCCCCCAGCCATTCAATTAAGTAAGGGGTGGACACGAATGCCCAAAACCCTGTAAAACGATGGGACACTTGAAAAGCGACACCTACGAACACCAAGCGTGGATAATTGATGCTAAAACCCTGCAAAATGATGGGAACACTTGAAAAGCGGCACCCCTCATGTTGCGTCCATTAGCACCTCGAGCCGGTTTTGGCAGTCGCTCATATGTATATATGAAACAGGGTTTATATTTCTGTTATTGGTGAGTGTTTATAAGGCTCCTTGTTACAATTGGTGAGTGTACATATTGGGTGTCCTTTTGGGATACAAGAAATATAAAACCTACTTCATATATGTGTGTGTGTATATATATATATCTATAAATACATCCCTCCAAAATTTGATGGCTTGTGAAAGCAAGGTCTTCCACCCGACGACTTCTAGCCCGGAACAACGACACACCCCCATCCTCCCTTAGGGTTTAGGGTTTCGGGTTTAGGGTTTAGGATTTTGGGTTTAACCCCAAGCAAAACCGCGGCGAGGCAGATTCAGCGTTGGGAAACTTGCTCCAGGGCCTCAACGGCATCGCGCAGCAGGACGCCGACTCAATTGCCCAAGGGTTTAGGGTTTAGGGTTTAGGGTTTCCTTACGGGTTCGTAGTAAGAACATATGTAGGGCAGTGGCATCCGCTACAGTATAAACCCTGAATCTTAAACCCTGAACCCTGCAGCTTCTACCCCCTGAAAGGGGTAGATGAATACTTGATGACTTCATTCGCACATCCCGACTAAGACTAGTAAGTTTCAGGGCTTTGAGGATTTTCGGTTCTGACAGGGGCTTTAAGGTTTGTCAAGGTGGGGTTTGGGGTTCAGGGTTTAGGGATTGTAGGGCGTCACAGGCCATTTAAGGGGTCTTAGGCTTGAGGAGCTGTTTGACATGATTTCAGGATTTAGGGGTTTTTCGAAGGCCCCTCGCACCCTTAGGCAAGCTCCGAACCTGCCATGTAACCCTAAGCCCACCTTCCCTAAACCCTCAACCCTAAACTAAACCCTCAAGACTTAAGACCTCAATCAGCAGGGCCCCCTACTCCGCAGCCGCGCCCCCTTAAACCCACCCAAAGCCCAAGCTCAAAAAGGGCTTTCCGGTTCAGGGTTCAGGGTTTCGGGAGCCTAAACTCGATTCCCTAAACCCTAAACCCCAAGCGCCCTAAAGCCTAAACCGTACCTACGGAAACCTGTTCAGCTTTCCCGCAGACACTACTGTTTGCATAAGAACTCCCAACAAATAAAAATATTCTTCCCGGCTCCTGTAAGGGTAAAAAGGGCATTGTTTCTTTTTCCTTTTTTTGGGGCTCTTTAAACGCTAAACCCTAAACCCTAAACCCTATACCCTAAACCCTAAACCCTAAACCCTAAACCCTAAACCCTAAGCCCTAAACCCTAAACCCTAAACCCTAAAACGTCAAACGGTAGAACATGGTCAGGCCGAAGCCAGGGTGGGGCCATCGGGCAGCGAGGATGACATCGCGACCGCGGCTGCGTCTCGGTGTGGAAGAAATGGTGCAAGGGTTTAGGGTTTAGGGTTTAGGGTTTAGGGTTTAGGTTGTTGGGCTTTTTGAGGTGGAGACGTCGATCGGGGTTTTAGGGCTGAGGGCTTGTAAGGTTAAGGCCTGGGCTCTACTATGTACGCTTGGGCGGCGTTGGGTGCTCGAGGATTTTTTGGGGTTTTAGGGCTGAAAAGATTGCAAGATTCAGATCTTCTTGCTTGATCTTCTCGTTTGGGGCTGCAAGGGTTCAGGGTTTAGGGTTTAGGATTTAGGGTTTAGGGTTTAGGGTTTAGGGTTTAGGGTTGCTGCCCAACCGGCCCTTGGCAGGGCTTAGGTTGGAGGCCAGGTTGAAGGTTTGGGGTTCAGGGTTCAGGGTTTAGGGTTCAGGGTTCAGGGTTTAGGGTTTGGGGTTTAGGGTTTAGGGTTTAGGGTTTAGGGTTCAGGGTTTAGGGTTTGGGGTTTAGGGTTTAGGGTTCATGCACCTCAACCATAGTTGGAGTTCAGGGTTCAGGGTTTAGGGTTTAGCGTTTAGGGTTTAGAGTTCATGCACCTCAACCATAGTCCCTGGGCGCTTCAACCCAAGCAGCCCTTAGCGGGCGAACCTTCGCGCAGGTCAAAGTCAACGTGCGAAACACGATTGCCTCTCATCAGCAGTCGGGTATTCAAGTGTTAAGGATTGAGGGCATATATGCAGGGCTTGGGGCGTTTTTAGGTTGGGGAGCAAAGAAACCGAACCCTGAACCCTGAACCATAAACCGTAAACCCTGAACCCTAAACCCTAAACCCTAAACCCTAAACCCTAAACCCTAAACCCTAAACCCTAAACCCTAAACCCTAAACCCTAAACCCTAAACCCTAAACCCTAAACCCTAAACCCTAAACCCTAAACACAAGCACTGAGAACCTGTCCCAGCCAGTAGGCAGGCTACCTGTTGATGAAGGGTTCTCTTCTTCAGTGGACTCTCATCCCTACATGGCCCATCCCTCCCATCAAGGACCTTTCGAACGACCCTTATAACCCTCAGCCCAGAACCCTAAATCCTAAACCCCCTAAACCCCCTAAACCCCCTAAACTCCCTAAACCCCCTAAACCCCCTAAACCCCCTAAACCCCCAAAACCCCCTAAATCCTAAACCCCCCTAAGCCCCCTAAAGCCCCTAAAGCCCCCTTAAAACACCAAGCCGGCCTCTTGCCTTGCATGTCCGCATGTCTAAGCAGGGTTTTGTGTGTGTGTGCACGCGTGCAGGAACCCTAAACCCTAAAAGCCCTAAAAGGCCTAGACCCTAAAGTCCTAAAAGTCCTAAACCCTAAGCCCTAAAAGCCCTAAACCCTAAAGTCCTAAAAGTCCTAAACCCTAAACCCTAAACCCTAAAAGCCCTAAACCCTAAACCCTAAAAGTCCTAAACCCTTATCATGAGCTTGGGTTCTAGGGTTTGGGGTTTGGCGTTTAGGTTGTTCGGGATGCCCCTTGATGGGACTCTACAAGCCCCAAACCCCGCAATGCCAGGTTCGGCCTCTACGCCTCGAGCCCTCCACCCTAAACCCTAAACCCTAGACCCTAAACCCTAAACCCTAAACCCTAAACCCTACAGCCGAATGAGCCCCTGTTCAGTCCCGAAACCCTGAAGCACCTTAAACCACTAAACCCCTAAAGCCTCAAAGCCTTAAACCCTTGAACCCTTGAACCCTTAAACCCTTAAACCTTTAAACCCTTACATCCTTAAAGCCTTAAACCCTCCCACCCTTCAACCCTGAAACCCTTCAACCCTGCAATCCTTCAACCCTTAAACCCTGAAAGCCTTAAACCCTTAAACTCCTAAACCCTACACCCTTAAACCCTGAAACCCTTAAACCCCAGAACCCCTAAACCCTTAGACCTTTAAACCCTTTAACCCTTTAGCCCTTCAACTCTTGAACTCTAAACCCCTAAATCCTTAAACCCCAAAACCCTTGAAGCCTAGACCCTTAAGCCCCCAAACCCTGAAACCCTTAAACGCTTAATGGGCCCTGCGCTGAAGCTCCCTAATCTCCATCCATGCTCAGAACTACCTCGCCACGAAGAGTGAGGTGATCTCCGATAAGGCCTGTGCAGGGACTTTTCCACGGCGCCCATGGGAGTTTCGAGAATTCAGGTTTAGGGTTTAGGGTTTAGGGTTTAGGGCTTAGGGCTTGGGGCTTATAGGGTTTAGGGGTTTAGGTTTAGGGTTTGGGTTGGTTCCATACACGGCCTCCGATGTCGTACTTCTACTTAAAAGTTGGAAGCCTTGATGGCGAAAGCCCTAACGCTCGCTGCCTGTGCAGCCCGAGGAAATTGAGCCCCTTGTGCAGGCCTTACCCCCTAAATTTGCAACTGCTTGTGGAGGCTTTGGGGACCCCTTTGTGCTCCTTCCTTGCCACGCGTTGTGCGCAATATGACGCCTCACATCTACTAGAACCCAGTTCGAATGTTCGAATCCAGCAACTATATACAGGGGCTTAAAACCCTAAACCCTAAACCCCTTCAATCCCCAATAATTTACAACCAAGAAGATGCCCATGCAAATTAACACGCCCCCCCCCCCCCCCCCCCCCCCCCCCCCCCCCCCC